ACGTCTCAGCCACCTTGGAGATGCCGTAGACGAGTAGCGCCACATTGTTCGAGGCCGCGCCGATCTGCGCAGCGCACTGGTGGGAACGGTCAGCAAACCGTGCCAGCTGCTGGTCGTTCCTGGAAGCGGGAACCGCTCGCCTGCCCATCATTTTAACCTTGGGTCCGAGCAGGGAAGCCAAGTCAGCCTCCGAGGGCGGAACCACCGGGAAGCCATGCTCGGTGAGGTTCTCTACCTTAGTGATAGACATGTAGGAGGACACAGGAGCCCTGAGCCGGGTGGGCTCAGCTCTGGAGCCGTTCCAGTACTCCATGGATGCTGGGAACTGCGAGAACACTGGGTCAGGGCAGCGAGTCGGTTTCGCGCCAAACCTGCCCACCAAGTCGTCCGACTTAGCAGGGGCGGGAACCGTTAGTCCTTTGAAGCTCGCCACTGCCGAGATGATGGAGGGCAGCTCCTGGAGCAAAGCTCGGATGGGAGGGAGTGGTGTATGGGTGACCTGGAGGTGTGGGTTCGGGTCCCGTTCGGGAGCCTGAAGGTCCACAGCCTCCGAGGACAAGTGTGAGGATCCCGCGCAACTAAGCTGCTCTGTGTCAGAGCAGCTTGCTAGCACGGGTCCAGCTGGTTCCAGACCGGTGTCAAAAAAGTCCATGGCCTCCTCCAGTGGGACGGTGTTGGGTGCCGCAAACCCGCCCTCAGAGCCCTCGGAGATGGCGGTGAAATAATCCACGCGCCGGAGTTTCTCGGCTGCCGGCAGGAGCTGGCAGAAGTGGCGGGCTGCCTGGAGTGTAAGGGCAAGGCCGGCGTGTCTAGGCCAGAGGCAGATGTCACATCTGGCATGGAGGTCGCCAGGCATAATGTATGCCGTGTTGCAGGACTGGCACAGTCGGATTGCTTCGCTCATCATGGTTGTAGAGAGATGGGTGAAGATAGCTCAGTTGCTGTCAGGTCTAGTTGAAGAACTAAAAGGAGACGATCCTTGGTCCTCATACCTATTTATGGGACCAGGGCCCACCTGATAGGCGGGTGTATATTAAAGCTCTTCAGTCATTGGTCATTGTCGGGAACTAACTCCCAATAGGCGAGGCTTAAAGGGCAGAGCCATACGAAATAGAACCACCATATATCTGGCCATGTGGTAAGCAGCAGCTACGCTAGAGGAGAGGAGATTATGTGGTGATGTCATATATGCAAAATACCGATGTCTGAGTCATGCTAATTATGAACAAAGTGATAAATCAAAAAAGTACGTGACTGGCTTGGTTGAAACACCCATCATTAATTTTCATTTAAATTGAAGTACAACATATGGGTGATTCAGGGCGTAAGGCAAAGCGGATTAGAAAGCATGTTAGCCCCGTTGACTAGCACTCCTTTTGTTGTTCTTTCGGGGACCCTTGAGCACGACCGGAAAGGGAGGAAACTTTCAAATTGAAGGATTTTTCCGTCTTCTGGTGGACAAATGCTGTTACTACAGGCATTGTTCCTAAAGCTAAACAAGACATTTCTCATCAGCACTTCCTATAAGTTCCTTCAAAATAAAATATGGCACTTAAAAATTACTACAGGTTTTAAATTTGCATTAACGTTGTAGTTTGTCTAAATAATGGGAAAGCCAGAATGTCCTCCCTCATAAAAACTACTTAACTACTAAAACTCAACAAATCAGGGTAAAACTAAATCCATGATAGATTTAGAGGGGGTTTACTCTTAAAATTATGTTATTTTTGGAAATATAAAATTTATTTATTTTGTAACAAAATCTCACCATCATAAACATATAGCTTAATCAAACATGTCATATATAAAACTGTTAGTTATTAGTTCAAAGACCAAAAAAGTAAGAAACTACATCTGATAAACTCACAGAGACATTGATACAGACACTCTATTTACAAAAAACAGAAAAATCATTATTGCATTTTGAACTCGCAATGACTGTATAAACTACTCATTTAAATGAAATATGAAACAAATGCTAATTAAAACAATTTGGTAAAAAAGCTACTGAAAACTCAGTAAATAAATCACATCCGCTGATTTAATTTGATAAACTTGTTTAATCAGATAAATGAAAACTTTAGATTATATGCAGTATATTATAACTATCAGAATCAGAAGGGCTCTATTGCCATATGTGCGAGAATCACAACATTAGGAGTTTGCTATGGTACTTGGTGCAAGAAAAAACAAACGTTTACAGGGTAAAATTGAAGATACATCAAATTTCATGAAATAAAAAATAATTAAAATAACAAATGAAGTTCAATAAAACACACACATATAACACATATATAATAATTATGTTAGAGCAGTCCAACATATATACAGACAGTATTTAACCCTGAATAACATGTTGGCAAAATATTTTTCTATAAGAATTGACTATCTGTATGCTATAAGCCTAATATTTAAATGGCATATAATAACATAACTGTTCTGCAGTAAAAATCAATGTAAACTTTAAGTAGGTAAAATCAAAGAGCAAGTCACCCCCTACCAGAGTATTACTCCACTCCCACTTCCTGTTTGGAAAATACCATACCATACCACATTTACTTATAAAGCACCATTTCAAAATAGCATGGCACTTAACCAAAGTGCTGTACATTAAAAAAGCCACAAGCTTGAACAAGAAACACAATAAGAACAGGCAAAATACACAAGAACAAAGCATAAATAGTCGGAGATAAAAATTCCTACTAAAAACAATTAAATAGGAGAACACAGTTAACAGCACTATAAAAAATAAAATAATGCGACGAATGATAAAATTATTTGAAATGGCACAAATAAAACCAAATAAGCTACCAGATGGTGCGAGGTGCCAAAAGTGTGCAACTGAATCATAAAAACGGAATTAAAAAATCAAATCTCGTGCTAGATTTTCATGAAAAGTGTCAAGGAGGGAAGGCGATACTAATGAAGTGCGTTTTCAGGGCTGACCTGAAACTGCTAATAGAGGGAGTCAGACGCACACGGAGGGGCAGAGAGTTCCAGAGTTTTGGGGCTGCATAAGAGAAGGCACGCTCCCCCCGTGATTTGTACCGAACCTTCGGAACAACAAGCTGCAGATGATCTGCTGACCGAAGGGCACAGGTGGGAACATACGGGGCCAGCAGGTCCGTCAGATAGGATGGGGATGGGCAGTACAAAGCCTTGTAAACATATAACAAGACCTTGAAGTTAATCCTAAATTTGACTGGGAGCCAGTGTAAATGTGCAAGGATGGGTAGGATGTGCATGCGTCTGTCGGTGTTGGTTAAAAATCTGGCTGCGGCATTTTGAACCTTCTGCAGTTTGCTTAGGGCTGAAGCATCAATCCCAATGAGGACAGAATTTGCGTAATCCAGACATGAAGTAATGAAAGCATGAATGACTGACTCAAGATCCAGGCGTCTGAGGATTGACTTAAGACGAGTGATGAGGCGGTTGGAAAAAGCAGAACTTGACAGTAGCGTTGACTTGTGAAGACATTGAAAGGTCAGAGTCCAGTTTCACACCTAGGCTAGTGGCACATGATTTGTGATTGAGTGGGAGAGTTGAGACATCTAAAGCATCATTCATGTTAGTGGGGCTAAAAAGTATGGCATCTGATTTGCTGTCATTTAACCGTAGGCAGTTTTGAGAAAGCCAGGATCTGACCTGGGAAAGGCATTCTGACATAAGAGAAAATGAGTGCTGTTGGTTGATTTGAAGGTAGATCTGGCAATCATCTGCATAAAAGTCGTAATTAACTCCGAGACTTGCTAAAATCTTACCAAGTGGTAGCATGTAAATTGAAAAGAGGAGAGGACCCAGGATGGAGCCCTGCGGTACTCCCCATGGAAGTGGGACATTGGGAGAAGAGCAGCAAATGCAACAAATGCTGTTGCCTAGCAGACCGAGAGGGCGGAGCCGCTAACAAATACACACACACAGGCTCAAAACGACATTGTGACATCATATCGTACCAGCTAAAATTCTAGGGTACCTCTTAGCCAATAGCAATGGCAGATTTAAATTCAACTGCAGTGCAGAGTTTTTACCTGACAACGGTACAACACTGACAGTTTTAGGCAGAAAATTTAAATTTGAACTAAAATGCACTAGTGCAAAACTATTGACTGCACGTGTCTGCAGCACGATTAGACACGCAGTTATATAGTTTTTCAGGAAAAAAAGCTGATTTGGGGGTGACTTGCTCTTTAAATAGTTTTTTTTCCACATTTTACTAATTTATTTGTTGTTTTTTTAAATATCATAATAATTAACATTGTTGTACATTGCAAACTGTTATTACAGTATCCATTTTGCCTAAACAAATTTAATCTGCCTTAATATCACTTTATTCTCTGCCAGCGTGTCCTCTATCCACACCTAATAGACAGCTACAGCTTATAAACTTGACTCTCCTATATTCCAGTTGGAATTGACAAAGCTCCTTGGATGAGAAACGAAGCGTCTTCAAGAAACCAAAGACGTCCAGTCGTCTTCATTTGAACCCTTTTGGATGACTAATGCCCCCCCCCCCCCCCCCCCCCCCCCATAGACGCACACAGAAAGAATAAACTTAAGAAAATCTCACTTTTGCCAAAGTTGGCAGCCCTGCATATAAATTGCAAAGTGATGGAGTAAATATATTTGAAATAAATGATGTCGTATTTGTAGATTTAATACGTAGTCACACATCTAAACATTTTTGGCTGTGTATGGTTCTCATGCAGCATAAACATTCCTCACAGTGCCAGCGAGGGGGCAGTGGAGCCCTGGACCAAAATGGCTATTATACAAGCCTATAGGGAGCAGCACCGATCAAGAACGCATAAATGGTGTTATGCTAAAATATGTTTTCATCTGAAAACGCTGTTATGCTTTTCTAGAATTTAAGCCATCTGGGTCAAATATAAACTATTTGAGGTTAAAAAATATCGTGATATATATTTCAGAGAATAATCAGTCAATTGTACTTTAACTGTAATTTTACTCACGAAGATAAATCGCAAAACCGGAATGACGACGCGGAAACGTTATTCGGCGGGGAACATATTTAGGCGTAACACCGGAAACTGTAGCAGAAACGAACATCTTCCACCGGCTTCGGGCTCCTTCTCTTTGTCCGTCCTGCTCTGTCTCGAAGCGACATTCACAGCAACACCATGGCCAATGTAGCCGATACGAGACTATACGACATTCTCGGAGTGTCTCCGTCCGCAACTGAAAACGAATTGAAGAAGGTAATCGGACGGAAAGCAGATGAATTTCACCACATTAGAACAGAGTTTGAAAAATGTTTCCAACCAGGAATGTGCTGCTAAGCTCTGTTAGCTTGGAAAAAGGCTAGTTTGTTAGCAAGTTAAATGGCCTGGATGTTTATGCGGACTTCACCTATAACTATCGTGGCTTCTTTAATATTAGATAAACGCTCGTTGTGTGGTTTAGGACTTTGTAGTCGTCAGATTAAATGTTAATGTTGGTAAACAGAAGCTTAGTACTTTATTCTACGATGGTCATTGGCCTCGCGTTAGCTTTAGCTCACGTTGAGTCACTACATAGCACAGTGGGGTAGATTACTTTGAGGATTTTTCTAATTGTTGTAACCTGACATCGATTATTGGCACTCAGACGTGTTTTCTTGTAGTCTTCCCGAGAGCTTTGTAACGTCTGAAAATTGTTTCAGCCTGTGGAGTTCACTTGATGTCTAATTACGTTTCCCGGCTTAGCTAGTTAGCTTGATTATGACGAAGACCGTTTCCGTTGAATAGTATTGATCTGATGTTTTCTATGGTTATGAAATTATCTAAATTGCCCCCAAACTCACCCGCTGATCTATGAAAGGCTGTTTTCCTTCTTAACTGTTAGTTATTTTCATTACCTTTCAACAGTGAAATTACACGTTTTTGTCCATTTTAGCTAAGCACAAAATGTTCATGTGTTAGATTCAGGATTGATCGCTAGGGTTGTTTTCAGCTCTCTGGGCCTGCAGCGGGAGAGTTTTGCCGGCTGAAACAATGAAATTTCCGTGCGATTGCGTAAACAGAGGGTTGTCTTCCTGTAGGTGAAACCGGAAGTTCCGGTGAACACTGCGACTCAACGCAGTTAAAGATATTTACTGTTGGAATAAATAAATAATGATGCTTTTTCTTTGTTTCTCTAGGCATACCGTAAATTGGCAAAAGAATACCACCCTGACAAAAATCCAAATGCAGGAGATAAGGTAAGACCTAAGTGACAGTTTATTTGTATTTATCTGTTTGTGGTGTGTGTAATGAAGCAAAAATCAAATAAGGTTTATATGTTATGCTGTTCACTCAGACTTATGGCTTTACTCTCTGTACCTCTTATAAAGAAGTTGGATTTGATCCATTGTCTGATGCTTTTTCTGCTCAGAGTTGTTTTAAAGTGAAAGATAAAAACAGTCTGACAAGAAAAACACTATTCCATTGGTCATAACAAGAGCAATGTTTCAGAAGTCCGAGAAACTCATAATTTCTTGTTTTATGAGTGTATTTTAACATGTCTGAATAAATAAGTATGATGTTTATTAAATACTTGAGCAGAAAGGCAAAGGGGTGAATCGTAACGTTATTATTAACAGTTTTAACAAGCTTCTCTGCAAATCTGGACAAAATACAACAAGTGTTCAGTTGAATTATCAGAAACAATACAGAGTTTTTTTTGTATTTTGCTTTTTCCTGCTGTAGTCTTGACTGTAAAAGGTTTGAGGTGTTTGAGTTTCCAAGTATTGTACATTGTATTTCTTATACTGAGAACTGTGAGTTAATAAAAATAGTTATGATCAAATTGGAACATTAATACTTAAGATAATCTGCGGTTTAAAGCCCATATAAGTAGAATACATTCATTTTATAGCTTTAAACACAGTCTGACGTAAGCGTAGTGGTTAATGTAAACTTTAGTATTTTGGTTACATTGTCAGGCTTCTTTCAAACCCAAGTTTGGTGTTCCTATTTGTTCCCACAGTTTTGATGGGACATTGTGTGAAAAACTCAGCACAGCTGGTAGAAATCTCATTTTAACTGATAATAAAACAATAATAATACATAATAAAACTATCCATCAGCTACAGGTGGTTGATTTTCTGTTTCATGAATCATAAAAAAAAGTCTTCTCGGAGCTGTTTGTCAGCCCAGTAATGGTCCGTTTTATTTGTTTGCACATTGTTTATACTTTGTTTTCTCTCAAACCTCCAGTTCAAAGAAATCAGCTTTGCCTATGAGGTGCTGACCAACCCTGAAAAGAAGGAACTTTATGATCGCTATGGAGAACAAGGCTTGCGGGAAGGAGGAGGGGGTGGTCCTGGGATGGAAGACATCTTCTCCCACATCTTTGGTGGTGGGCTCTTTGGCTTCATGGGTGGGCAGGGGAACCGCTCGAGGAATGGGGGACGAAGACGAGGCGAGGACATGGTCCATCCACTCAAGTAAGTACAATGGCTTTAATTTCAAATGAAGTGTTTTACTCTAGAGTAGCAGCAGGCTCTAAATGTCTCTTCTTTCCTTCAGGGTGTCCCTAGAGGACCTGTACAACGGCAAAACAACAAAACTACAACTTAGCAAGAACGTACTATGTAGTGGATGTAATGGGTATGTTACTGTAGATTTCTTCTGCATTGTGTGTGTGTGTGTGTGTGTATTTATTTATTTCACCTGCTTATTTATCCATGTGTATAAATGCAGACAGGGAGGCAAGACGGGCGCAGTGCAGAAATGTACCACATGTCGGGGGCGTGGAATGCGTGTCATGATCAGGCAGCTGGCCCCGGGGATGGTCCAACAGATGCAGTCTGTTTGTACTGATTGTAATGGAGAAGGTAAACATTTAATTGATTTTTCGGGTGCCTTGGTGTGTTGCGGGGTTCGTACCTGAACCAAAACAAAGCTGTTTTCTGTGTTTAACCCACAACAGGTGAAGTTATCAGTGAAAAGGACCGTTGTAAAAAGTGTGAAGGCAAGAAAGTAGTGAAGGAGGTAAAAATCCTGGAAGTGCATGTGGATAAAGGCATGAGGCATGGCCAGAAAATTACCTTTGGGGGAGAAGCTGACCAGGCACCAGGCGTGGAGCCCGGGGACATAGTCCTTGTCCTGCAGTCTAAAGAGCATGAGGTAAGTGACTAAACCGTTCTGGCTGCAGACACTTTAGCTCGGCCTCTGCTAAGCAAAGCTACTTCTAATCAAACCTCCAACACCTAGGAGATAATTTATGTCCCATTGAGGGAAGAGCTCGTGATCCTGCAGACCTCAACTTTTCAGGTAGCTTAATACTAGACTCGCAGTCCCAACCAACCAACAACACAGGTCCAGGCACGCGCCGTCACCAAGCCCTCCCCTCTCAACCCCAGACAGACACCACGTGGCTTAAACAAGACGGCAAGAAGAGGCAGAGGAGTATTATAAAATATTAAATTTAAGTCAGTTTTTGTCTGAGTTAGAAAATAGTTAATTAAGGAATCGTATAAAGAGGCCAGGGTCGTACTTAAAATATCTTTTTGACAGTTTTTTTTAATATATATATATATAGTTTTTTCAATAATTATCAATATCGACCAATATGATTTCTTTTTATCTATATATTTTTTTCTATATCGTCCAGCCCTACTTCAAACCATCATACACAGTCCATGTTCTGCTGTCAGCACTGCTGCGTTTGGAGACTCCTGCACAAGCCCTCTGGCTATTTACAGAAATACGGTCAGAATGACTGCAGTATTGAGTATTTAATGCGGATCATATATGGGCCTGCTGCACATCAGCTTCTAAAGACACCGCCCCACTGGACCCAGAGCTTCTGCGTGGAGTTGTTCCTACTCTACGAGTCATGATGCTTCCTCTGCTTGTTGATCTCATTGTAGGGAGGGATGTCTGCCAGAAGTGGCACCTTAATCAAGTTGTGTTGTTTTTTTTAAACACACAATCTTTAAAAAAAACAACTGCTGTGGGTGGAGGTGGGAATGATCAGATGGGACTGGTTGGACATTCAGGCGGAGCGATGATTTTACACTAGTCTTCAAAAAGCTGCAAAAGGAATGAGAGAACCCTACAGATGTTTGGGAAACCGCTTGCCGGTGTTGGTCAGGACTGGGGCAGTTTGCATCAAGATCGAATCGTTCAGCATTACGCTGGGGACACACCGGCCGCGGAAGCGCAGCGAAAATGGGACCGCCTTCATTCGGTGCCCTTGTTAAGCTATTCTATAGACCACATGGGCCGCCGAAGCGCCGCGAATCGCCTCGCGCCGGCGCTCCAGCCCGCGCCGTGCAGCGATCATTTCGGCGTCGGCTCTATTTTTTTCGCGAGCCGCGGGTGAATCGCTTCAATTCTGGCAGGAAGTCAAACGTAGACATAAGAGGCAGACTGGTAAATTTAACAAAATAAAGCATTTCAAAATAAAATTCCGCAATAGTCAAATGTGTTCGTAATCAGACACTGCAGAAAAACCACACGTACACACACACACATTGAACTTGTGTGCGTGTGTGATCACGTGAAGGGGTGTGTGGTTTTGGGTGTCTTTTCACCGGAGCAAACAGGTCAGAGAGGCAGAAAGTCTGAGGCAAGCAGTTAAGGTGGATGACTTTAAATTAATTATGGAAGTTGAGAAACACAAGGAGCTGTACGACCCCCGAAAAACATGATTATTTACGTACCCATTTCGGAAGAAACTGCTAGGATACAGCTGCAGAATTGGAGCGGGTTCCAAGAGATTCAACTGGCAGAAACAACTCGTACCATAGGTTCACACACACACACACACACACACACACACACACACACACACACACACACACACACACACGCACAAACACTCAAACGTAGAGGAAAAGAGCTGAGAAAAGGCAATGGAGGACACCAAAGCCCCCTTCAGACAGGCCATGAAAAACGGAAATGTTCCGGACTCTGTCCGTAAGACCTTTCTGTCTGAATACAAACATCCGGATAACGTGTTCCGGAATTTATCCGGACGAAGCCCCTAGTAACAGGTCCGGACTTGTTACGGACAGGGTGACTGCTTTTAGACTGGTGAGGTAAAGTTCCGGACAAGAGGGAGGGGGAGGAGGAGGGGACCGGGAGGACGCTGGGCGCACCTATATAGCCCGCTGCTGTAGCATGCGGCGAACCACGGCAGCTCGCCTCCTACGGTACCGCCTAGACGCGCGACGGAGCGTTTCACACCGCTTCAGTGATTCCTTTAACCATTGAGCTTCATCATCCAGGTCTCTTATGCGTCTTCGTGCGAGCAGAATTATGCTTAAGCGCCTCGTGATTTTTATCTTGAGAGGCGCTATAGAAATGATATTTTATTCTTCTTCTTCTTAACATGAGTCCGATTCTCTCTCCCCCCACCACCCCCCGCCGCCGTCAGACATCTGGAACTTTTCCCTGCTGTGTGAATGCAGCCGAAAGGACAAGTTCCGGTACAAAAGTGGTGTGTCTGAAAACACAGTTCCGGTTAAAAACCGGATTGAATTGTCCGCAAATGTTCCAGAATGTCTGTCTGAAAAGGGCTCAAGTGTTTAAAAGAAACACTACAGCTGAGTCGAGGCGCGCCTCAACTGGGGCGCGTCTGAACTGAGGAGTGGCGAGCAGCGGCCGAATTTCGTGAGCGATTCGCTTCTCGGCGCTTCCGCGGCCGGTGTGTCCCCGGCGTTAGTCGTGTCTACAAGCAGCTAGGATTAATATGCAGCTTCCTCCAGGTCATCTAACTTATATTTCTCAAACTGTGGAATGAGTCCATAGGGCAGTGGTCCGCAAATGGCGGCCCGTGGGCCACGTCCGGCCCGCGAGCCCTCTCTTTGTGGCCCCCAAACCCCGCGTGCACCCCCCAACCCCACCCCCGATGGCCGACTGGGAGGTGTAGGATAGATGGAGCTGAGGAAAAGAATCAATGCATGAGATGCGGGCATTAACGATTCTGCATCATAGAAGAGTACTAGGGCTGGGGGTAAACGATTATTTTCAAAACGATTATTCTGACGATTATTTTATCGAATAGTCGACTATTCTAATGACTATTTAGAAAATTAATCTAATGATTATTTTTCTATTGCACAATTAACAAAAACCAGAAAATCTCTAATAAATTCCTCCAAAAAATTGAATAATTGTTACTGTAAGAGAATAAACACTACAGGCCTTCCATTTTGTATAACACTGCTTTTATTGTGTTGGTTGGTTATGTTCTGGTGACGTGTAGAACTTGGGAGTGCAGGCTGCTGCCTGAGAGGTGGTTGTAGATGGAGTGTCTCCATGCTGCTTTGTTTTGGTCACTTATGAGCGTGAGGCGAGTGGTGTTACGACTCTTCCTGGGGAGTTTGCCTCATGTGCAAAAAGGAAGGGACAATAACGGGATTTAAAAGTTAAAATGATGATCAGGTTTATTTACAACAACAAAAATGCATAAATCTTTCCATCTACAGGTTGGGGATGATAAAACTAATTCTGCCTGTGGGGAATTAAAACAAAAGTACAAATAAGTAGGGATGTCCCACTGGGCAAAGATTACAGGGTTCTGGACCAAAATAAGAATCTCCAAAAGTCCAAACTCTAAACTGGGCAGTTAAACCAAACTCAAGGTGATATCTTAAACGATACCGAAAACCCACAACACTCTAAATGTAATAAAAGGGAGATCTGCACCACAAAAAAGATGAACTCTAAACCAAAACGTAACAGCTTATCCCAACGCAAGAAGCTGTTAGCGAAAATGCTAACAGTAGCTTTACCAACGTTAAGTTCAAGTTACCAAGTTTAAATAAACCAAAAACACCCAGCAGCAAACAGACCAGCATGGAGGAGAGACTGCTACCACCAAAACAGCTCTCCTCATGTCTGAAAGAAGCTCCTTTATGAAGGGAGAAACGCTCCCGGTGATGTTCTACATCTGCGGTAGAGACGGAGCAGCACATCTGACCCCGGAAGTTGTTGTCCGTTGCCGGGAGACGAAGGTGGGCAAAACAGGAAAATAATCTAGTAGCGGATGGACATTGTTCCGGGTCTTCTGTATTTGGCGGAGATGTTAGTGAAGGCGGAGAAGAGGACGAACTAGAGGAAAAACAGGCAGATTCCTCCTCTATTTACAAACTCCTGGGGATGCAACAAGTGGGCGCGGTGCGTCGACTACTGGATCTGACGTCGACAAATTTTTAGAATCGAGCCGTCGACATCGTCGAGGCTTCGCTACAGCCCTAAAGAGTACCGAGTTGTTATTTACACGATGATTATCACTTAAAACTGTTGCAATGCCATAACTGCTTATGGAGCATCTTTACTCACCAGGAGGCCGTGTCATTGACTTGTTCTTCTCTCCGTTTACATTTTTCAGACATTCAGACGCGATAACAACGACCTGTTCATGAACCATAAGATTGGCCTGGCGGAGGCGCTGTGCGGCTTCCAGTTTATGCTGAAGCACTTAGATGGGAGACAGATTGTTGTCAAGTATCCTGCTGGAAAAGTTATTGAACCAGGTTAACAAACCTTTTCCTGCATTTCATCTTTAAATGGAAGACCTGGTGGTCAGACTGTGTATCCTCATCATGATCCGGGTGAGTTTTAACCAAACTCCCGTTTGTTCCAGGCTCTGTCAGAGTGGTGCGAGGAGAAGGCATGCCGCAGTACAGGAACCCCTTTGAGAAGGGAGATCTGTTCATCAAGTTCGATGTCCAGTTCCCTGATCACAACTGGATCAGCCCAGAGAAACTTACGGTAAGACAACTTACTCCATCGGTTACCTGTGTTCGGGTTTGTATTTGTGGGAACCACTCATGGTAGAAAAGACCTGATCTGCCTAGAAATAAATGGACTAGGTTTAGTTTAGTCTCCCTTAGTGTGATTTAAAGGCAATTCACCCATTCTGGTTTCTAAGCAAGTGACTGATGTTTTAGATTTCACAATCGGTCGTCGACCAACAGTGAGAGCAGAACAACGTTCGCAGGATTAGATATTTGATCCACGTGGACTTTTAAATTGTTGAAGTATCCACTAACTGCACTCGCTGGAGACTGAGCCATGAGAAACACCAGTTCAGGCTTCCTGTTGACTAAACGGTATTAATCATGTCCTGTGCAGGAGCTGGAGGACATGCTTCCCTCCAGGTCAGAACCGCCCATCATCAGCGGAGACACGGAGGAGGTCGACCTGCAGGACTACGATGCCAGCCAGAGCTCATCATCATCAGGTGGCCGCCGAGAGGCGTACCACGACAGCTCCGATGACGAGAGCAGCCACCACGGAACAGGCGTGCAATGTGCCCACCAGTAGTCTCTCCCTTTCTTTCTTACACACACACACGCACACACACACTACCATTCAACCTGTGAATAAGTTTAGGCTGAAGACAGATCCAGTACATCCGATAGACTCATGTGCCTGACATTGTTACTATTATCATCTTGAGTGCACTTTTCTTATTTGTGTCTGAAGAACTTTTGCAGGGGCAGTCGGATTCTCGCGGTGCACCTTGTTCAGATTTAGACCCTTAACACATAATCTAAAGTATTGCAGATCTATCATTCAGGCCCCTCCTCCCTTTCCCTGTCTAAATCCATTCCTCTCATCTAATGGAGCTTCAGAACAGAAAGATTGCTGAGTGTGACTTGCATTGTGATTTTTGTTTTCATAGTATTTACATTAATTTAAAAGCTAGCGTACAGAAACAACTGAACGATGTGATGAAGATTCTGTCTGTCGTCCTTTCCTGAGTTCCACTCGGCACCGTTTGTAGGACTTGTTTCTGATTTTTACACCTTTGTTTTCCTTAATAGGATTTTACTTGTTCTTCTTTTACATTTTAAATCAAGCGGAGGTTTTGTTTTTCATTAAAGTGGTTTTTGGTGAGCTTCTTCAGCTGATAGTATTTGGAGCTGTTATTTAAAAAAAAGAGGAAAAGGTTAAGTGACAAAACTAATTATAGTCTGTGTCCGTGCGGAGACCATGTGCATGTACAAAGCTTTGTTTTTTGCACTTATCAAACACAAAGTAAAGCAACACATAAAAAGTCTATAAAGTTGTTGAGTAAATTGTTATTACCATGTTCTGCCTGCTGTGTAATTATTTACTAAGCCCTTCAGAATCGTTGGTAGTTACTTGTTAGGTTCCTGCAGGAGAAACAGGCCTTTTACTGCAGTGACCGGGGCGAAGTCAGAGCAGGGGTATTTGGCCCAGGAATTAGTTCCATGTGTCTTCCAACACATGACCTGCTGAATAACAAAGCCACGAGATCCTTGGGTTGGGTTTTTGAAGCAAGATTTTGCACTAGTGAGCTCAAAATCCTGCCTTCTCTCCTCTGTAGTACAATCAGAAATCCCCCATGGTTGCTGAAGTTGAAACGTGCCTTTATTTGAAGTTCGGACAAAGAGCAGCAGGACAAAATTAAATATGGGAGTATCATGACCCCCACCTCGATGGTTGTGGTGCTTTCCTACTGCAGGAGTTGCATGAATCGTGTGTGTGTGTGTGTTTGTATGCTTGAGGCTATAAGCAATATAGTTGGTTCAAATCAGATGAATCTATTCTCCCAAAAAATAAACAGTAAAGTTCCTTCTTTCTGTGACTAGAATGGGCTAACTTTATTAGTGGTTTGTGACTAAAGCAAATGATTTTAATTCAAACTATTTTTACATGAAAATCTGTAACTGGCCGTTTTTTTCAGCATGACTCAAACAGTTTTAACGTACAGTTTTAACACCAGTGGTTCTTTACACCATTTATGTTAATTCAATTCAATAATACTTTATTAATCCCAGAGGGAAATTAGAGTTTCAGTACACACAATTCTGAGATCAGACATACTTGACAAGAATTGGTGACTGTGGCCATTTGCAACCCGAGTCGCGCTACCATAATAGATCAAGAGGGTTTATATGAGGATAGTCAAAAAGGCACTTCAGAGTTACCCTCAACAGAGAGGGCAGCTTTGCTATGCAAAAAAACCCCACCTCAGACAGATATGCACACAGACTTTAGACATCACACAACATAAGTGTTCACTAGGTGGGGAGGTAGGGTTGGGACTTTCCTCACTTCAGTGTGTGCAGCCGCATGGAGCAGCGCTCATCACCTCCGTTTGGACAGGGGAGGGAGATAATGGGTTAGAGGGCACATTAACTCTTAGATACGGTTCCACGGCCTTCACTGGTCACAGTCCCGCCCAGGCTGGGAGAGGGAGAAAGAGTTTCCATAGCGACGGCAGCATTCCACATTTCTTCTGAGGGGGAGTTTTTACTTCAGCCTCACAGGCTCAAGGGCACCAGATTCAGATAAGAATTGTTTTGGGGACAGACAGAGATGATTTCCTCTCTGCCTTACCCCGGGTTTCCACCGGAGCCGTCAGCAGCACGTTACTGCAGCAGCACGTCTTGCTCGCTTATGCTACTGCTTGGCCCTTCCCACGAGACGCGAAGCAGCAGGGGAGCAGCTGTCACCGACCGAGCACGAAGTCACACGAGTGACTTCGTCAGTAAACACAACAACAAGCAGGAGAAAATTGCAACACGGTTTGTGTTTTATGTTCTGTCCGTTTTATAATCGCCAATACGGACCTGAAAAACAAAGGAGACCGCTAGCTAGGTGATAACTTCTCACGGGGCCGCACAGTTAGTAACCTTTTTTAAAAGTAAAGCAACCGGAAGGCAGTACGTTCTTTATTCTGAAAATCTCGGTAGCTTCTCTCCATTTCCGCGTCCGATTTCCTGTCTTTCCTTCCCCAAAAATGTCGAACTTGACCCGTTTCAGAGGCGTTGCGCGTAGAAAATAGAACCGGTGCGTAAAGGCCGCGACATGCTGCTCCTGAGACGCGGCCGACTCGCGCTGCCGACGGCTCCAGTGGAAAAGGTTCTGTTGACCACAGCGGTTCCTATCAGCAGCTATGACGTGCTGCTGCAGTAACGTGCTGCTGACGGCTCCCGTGGAAAGCCGGGGTGAGAGTTCCGTTGGTCTTCAGCCCATCTAGATCCAATATTGGCAAAATTAATCTATCCCAATCCATGCTGATCCGTCAACTCGCCCCTTGATGGAATCCACCTTCTGTGCCAGAGCCTGAATCTCAGCCAAAGTTCCAAGCTTACGACTCATCTCGACAATTATATGAGTTTGTGCGTTCACAGCGCGATGCATTCCATCCCTGAGCTCCGGGATTTAGCCAATATCCCTTGAAAGCTCGTTAATTTTCCGGTAAGCCAGGTAACCACTCAGGCCAAACAGCAGGATTCTCGACACCAAAACAACGAATATCGACATCTACAGAATCCTCTACAGACAGTTGAGAGGCATATCAGGTTCCACTGTTTCCAGGAGTCCATGATATACCCAGCTTGCTCTGTACCAGAGGGGCATCCGGGAGCCCGTTCTCATCGTTGAAAATATTTTGTCAATCGCGTTGTGACCAGCTGACCAGATCCATTCTTAATAATTTCCAGTTTCCAGAAATAATACAGAAGCGTTGTGCACACAAGACAGGGCAAAGTGTTGGGTTATTTATTTATTAAAACCAGTTCACCTTAAGAGAAATCAAACGCACAAAGAGGATTAGAGCAATATTATTGTTCAACTGTACTTTGCAAAGTGGAGAGATGAAATGATACACACCCAAGCATGGTTCGCAGGATCTCTCATCGAACCATCTTCCTCAGAGAGTATTTATTAACCAAGCACACACACAAAACATCACACCACATTCCCAAACTGCTCCGTAAGACCAGGTGGAAAGCTGGACAACGAAATCCACTTTTTCCCTAACACAAAGAGGGAGGGAGAGGAGAAAAAAGCATCTGTACTCTCCCAAGAGCTGGAAGAAGGAACTTGCCAAGTGAAAGAAAACAATCTTTTCTATAGCACCTCAAGATGAAAGTCACGAAGTGCTTTACAAAAACATTTAAAATATAAAAAAGATTCATAAAATAATTCTTTAAAAATGTGTTTAAAATGAGAAAACAAAAATATGAGGAAAGGGAGAGAGAAAATGAATAGGAAAGGGGGAAATAAGTGGATCCTGGGAAAGGTGGAATAGGTAGAAAGTGCACATTAAGGAGAGAGTGGTGATGAAGGTCAAACCAAAGCCAGCTTGAACAACTGAGTTTTCAGCTGCTTTTTAAAGGAGTCCACTGATCTCAGGCTCAGGGGGAGAGTGGTCCAGAGTCTGGGGGCCACAGCAGCAAATGATCTGTCACTTTTGGTCTTTAGCCTGGTGCTGCACAACCAGTAGGCTTTGATCACTGGACCTCAGGGACCTGCTGGGGGAGTAGGGACTGAGAACGGGGGGGCGCTATAGCTACCCCTGGATTAGTCATTGCACCCCCAAGTAGATTTTAGATTTTTTATTTTTTACAATTTAATTTTAATTTAACGTGTGGATGTGATAATATTTAACATACAAAACAAAAATAATCAGTAAATTTATCATATAGATAGTAAAAACTTAAAGGGGCATTACGGAAGTTTGACAGCCAAAACATGTATAGAAATAACAAATTTCTTCTTAATACATTCTCCTGCGATGCCCTGGTCCTGTAGAATGAGCCCTGGCATTTTTACTGTGATTGCCTCTTTTTCTGTAAAATCACAGAAAAAGAGAGCTGCTCGGGTCGAGCAAGCTGCTTCATGCACGTTCACGCTCAGGCATAGCCCTCCGAACCGTTCTTTGCACGTTGTTTCAGCTGTCATCAAGGATATAAATGCTACAGATACAGAAGATGCCACTGGTGGTTTAGCTCACCTTGTAAGATTACAGGCTGTCGTGCAGAAGACCAAGGTTCAATCTGGATGTAAACATGGTTGTTTTAGAGTTTCTTTTTTACATTAATGGTATATTTTTTTACAGTAAGATGCCCAAATTTTTATTTGAGACTCGCCGAACGGCATTGAATTCACAGATAAAAAAGATGTGGGTTCAACTTTCATTTTGGAACAATTTTTCAAGCAAGGGAAGGGCATGATCTGAGCATGCAGGAGGACTGACCCATCTTAAACCTTTGTCGGCTGTGCTGAAGAGAAAGGTACAGAACCAAATTATTTAATTAATTAGTTGTGCGTTCTCCTGTCCTCCGGCCACACACACACACACAAGGGACTGTCAGCTCTCAGAGCTTCATCTCAGCTGTTATTTTCGTTAAGGAATGTGCACGTACGGCATGTGTGCCTCATGCACGAGCCTCCTATTGAAGCTGCTGTTTCGCTTTTGGCCTGAGGGGGGCAATCGCGAGCATAAAAATTCAAAACTCCGTAAAGTCCCTTTAAATCAAAACAGGAAATTGATGTTAACCTTTGACCCCATTTTCCACCTGCAAATGAGTGAAAGGTAGAGCTAGTGGTAAAATGGATCGGTTTTTGTTGCCCAAATTTTCACTTTTTCAGTCAAAAACGAATGAATCTTTGGAAATAATCTCAGACCCACAAAAACCTACGGATCTGGATGAAGAGAGTCAACCGCCGCAGCAGTCGAGGGGTTTGCCACTGGAAATGCTAACACTAACTTTAGCTAACCTTGCAAAACTATAGATGGTTTTCTGTGTGGCTGTGTTTATGATTTCATGGAAAAGTCAGCGATTGTTCATATGTTTATGATGTATATTAATGATTGTTTCAGGAGTTGTTGAGGTTTTGTGCACGCATGTGTATCTGCTAGTGTTGAAGGTGTTTTAGAGAACAATAGGTATGCATGACCACTTCCTTCATAGCACCCTCAATAAAAAGACTAGCTCCTTCATAGCACCTTTAGGAAAAAAATTCTGGAGCCGCCACTGACTGAGAAGATCACCAATGTAAGATGGTGCTTGTCCATGTAAGGCCCTATAGACCAGAACCAGGATCTTGAAATGAACCCTGAAGTTGACTGGCAGCCAGTGAAGCTGGAGGAGAAGCAGGGTGATGTGGGTGTGTTTGGAGGACTTGGTCAGAAGCCGAGCACAGGCATTCTGAACCACCTGTAGACGGTTCAGGGAGGTTCTGCTCAGACACGTGAAAAGAGAGTTACAGTAGTCTAAGCGTGAGGAGATGAAGGAGTGGAGAACTGTCTCAAGTTCAGAGCGAGACAGAATGGGACTCAGCTTAGCAATGTTCCTGAGATGGAATAAGGAAGAGCGAACAAGAGAACTGACATGAGAATCCAGGGTGAGAGCTGGGTCAAAGGTCACACCAAGATTCCTGACAGAAGGTTTGGTGTGAGAAGCAAGCTGACCAAGAGAGTCTCTGACTTTGGGAACCAGCTTGTCTGGGGCACAGATGAGGATCTCAGTCTTATCTTCATTCAGCTGTAGAAAGCTCCCAGCCATCCAGGTTTAGGTACAGTTAATAGTTTGACTGCCTTGAAATGAACTATAATTATCTGAAAGAAATTTGATTATTTGCTCTCGGTCAATATTTAACACTGAAGCTTAAAATGTCTGATGTGAATCTGGTGGTTTTTCTTAGTTTGATTATTGCTTAGTCCTTTGCACCAGTTGAGTCAAATGGGTAAATATATAATTTTCCTCCTAGCAAACGATGACCAAGGCTCCTTTATTTTTGTATTTAAATTACCTATTTTTTCTGATATTGTTTTTGTTTGAGATCTTAAAACATAAACTCAATTTATTTGCATTTTGCCCATTATAAATATCATTTCTATAAAGTCAGTTTTTTTAAACCAAAACTGTTGTGAAAGTTGTCTAGTTCCAAGCAGTTTTAAAAGTTGTCTCTTATTTAAACTGTAAACATTTAAAACTACTGCCGTAAGGGATTAAACATGCTGAATATATGGAGACATCTTTCTAAGTTTATCAGAAACAGACCCTGCTACTACAACCTTGGACATGTGCGCCGACACTGATGCTCGCTGTAGTTCCTATTGTAAACACGTGGAGGCGACGATGAGACCGTCACACAGCAGAAGAAGAGTCGGACCGGAAGTTTATCCTTCGAAGACGCAAGCAGCTAGAAATCTCAATTTTGAAGCTAATTTTAAATTTTGAATAACATTAAAAGAAAAGTCCACATTTATCTGGATTTGCAATCAGTTTCCGCAGTTCAGTAACAATTACAGGAACATTTTTGATGGCAGGAAGCTAACGCTTCCTGGTAACGCTTTGGGGAAAATGCCTACAGATCACGAACAAGAGTCGTTTTTAATGGAAAATGAGCAACAAAAAAAACTCTTAGGTTCTATGTTTAGCTCACGAGTTCGGCTGCAAGAAACAGGTGTGTATATTTTCATTCCTGCTATCAAATGAAATTATAACAGTTACCCTTAATGCAGTTTTCAGATAGCAGATTGATGCACCGTCTGTCACTGGTGAGAGAATGGACACATCGTTCTTCACGTGTAATTACGGTCACCTATGTATAAGGAATTTGGCTTCTCGGTGCATTCAAGTACAACTTATAAACTCGGCAATCCAAACTGTTTTCTGTTGATTTACTAATGAGGGTGAGATTTACTTCACCGAGTTTTGTTAAAGGGGCATTATGGAAGTTTGACAGCCAAAACATGTATGGAAATAATAAATTTCTTCTTAATTCATTCTCCTGCGATGCCCTGGTCCTGTAGAATGAGCCCTGGCATTTTTATTGTGATTGCCTATTTTTCTGTAAAATCACAGAAAAAGAGAGCTGCCTGGGTTGAGCAGGCTGCTTGATGCGCGTTCACGCTCAGGCATAGCCCTCCGAACCGTTCTTTGAATGTTGTTTCAGCTGTGATCAAGATATAAATGTTACAGATACAACAGATGCCACTGGCGATTTAGCTAGCCTAGAAAAACTTTGGGCTTTTGTGCAGAAGACCCGGGTTCGGTTCTGGATAAGGACATGGTTGTTTCAGAATTTCTTTTTTACATTAATGTTTATTTTTTTTACAGTAAGATGCCCAAATTTTTATTTGAGACTCACCGAACTGCATTGAATTCACAGATAAAAAAGATGTGGGTTCAACTGTCATTTTGGAACTAGTTTTCAAGCAAGGGAAGGGAATTATCTGAGCATGCAGGAGGACTGACCCATCATAAACCTTTGTCGGCTGTGCTGAAGAGAAAAGTACGGAACCAAATTATTTAATTAATTAGCTGCGTGTTCTCCTGTCCTCTGTCCTCCGGGCCACACACACACACACACACACACACACACACACACACACACACACACACACACACAAGGGACTGTCAGCCCTCAGAGCTTCATCTCAGCTGTTATTTTTGTTAAAGAGTGTGCACGTACAGCATGCGCTCCTCGTGCACGAGCCTCCTATTGAAGCTGCCATTACGCTTTTGGCCAGAGGGGGCAGGATTGGTCAGGATTGATGCACTTTGTTTTAATTTAGTTGGTTAAAAAACAGTCTGGCTTGGGTCGGGCCAGAGAATCCTGAAAACCTTTTCGGACCGGGTCGGGCTGGGGCTCCACCCCCTCGGGCCGGGCCGGACACGGGCTCAGATTTTAGGCCCATGCTGTGCTCTAGCAGGGAGGATAGAGTGTCCAGCTGGAACTCCTGGAGACTGAGGCTCTGATGGAGTTGGGCCAGCTCAGCTCGGAGACCGGCGAGCTCTGCTGAGTGGACTGCGGGCTCGATCCTTTGGCCTGGAGATGAGGGAGCTGCTGACTGGACCGACACCTTCTCCTGGTGATTCGGGGAGGATAGGGTGCCTAGCTGGGACTCCTGGAGGCTGACGAGCTGACGGATCCGGCCAAGCTCCGCCTGGAGACCGGCGAGCTCTGTCAGCTGGGCTGTAGGCGTGGTTCCTCCGCCTGCTGATGACGGAGGCGCTGATTGGACCGGAGATGGGACTGCTGGTCTGACTGGGGGTGGGTCCAAGCTGGCGCGCCGAGCCGGGACAAGGGGTGACGGCGGAGCCCGGCATCCTTCCCAACACCGTGGGCCAACTCCGGGGGAGCACACAGCCAGTCTGGTGCCCACATAACAGGAGCGGTCCATCTGCGCCTCCCCGTCCAAGTCTCCATCCGGCTTCGGAAGGGTGGAGAGGACCGCCGAGGCTGAAGTTCGGCGGCAAAGTATGCAGCGAGGCGACGCCGGAGGAGGAGAAGCCGGCCGGTGGTTGGTGGTCAGGAATTGGAGCAAACACTCCCAGGGGAGAATCTCCCCGCTGGATCCTTTAGCGGGTTGGCTCATTCTGTCATCGCGTGCCGGTGAGTGTAGCGGTGGCAAGGATCCACATGCGGGTGAGGGAAGCAGGCAGGCAGACAAACCAGAACGAGTAAGAGCCTTTAATGATGAACACACGCTGGACAACGAAACAATGAACCAACCAGACAAAATGGACTAACAGGGTTTAAATACAGGAGGAGCTGGGACCTTGGGTGATTGGGAGACGAGAGGCAGGTGGGAGCAATGAACATGGACACAGGACTGAACAGAATGGGCAGACAGGACAGGGTGTGACAGATTCTGATAAAGGATGGTTCTTAAGCCACAAAAATTATTCCACTGAAATATCTGGTTTGATTTCCCATAGGATGGAAATTTAATAGTGATGCACCGATATTAAATTTTCGGGCCAATACCGATATCCAATATTAAGATCACTGTTATGGCTTATAACCAATATTTTCCGATACTGATATACTGAAATTAATGCTTCTAAAATCTGCAGATTTTGTATAGAATGAAAATTATTAAAGCTGAATTTGCTAGAGGTGCTGAAAAAAATCGATTCAAGTCTGAATCAGGATTCTTATTTATAAAAATTCAGAATCGATTCACAAATGTTTAGAATCGATTCCAAGAACTCAAATATTTGGCATGTTACAGGTTTGAGATGCACTTTTTTGATCTTTGTTAGAAGAGTCAGTACTCTGTTTACTTTTGTGGTCCCATAAACTGAGATGATTTATGTTTGAATCTGCTGATAAGAGCGCACTTGAATGTAATTTTTTCCATACTCAGAAATTTGAGATATTCTCATATTTATTTTCTAAGTTGATAAATGAATACTCAGGATTACTCATGTAACTTGTATCTGCACATACTTGAAAAGTATTTGACCGTATTACTTCCAAAGCTACTGTTAGGTAACTACAGATTTGTTATATTTTACAAGGTAAGCAAAAATAAATGTTGCCGTTTGGTCAAAAGATTGCTTCTGTTTACAGTTTTAGAATCACTTTATTTTACAGTGTAAATTTGCATATTTGGAGCATGACCAGTTTAAAGTCAAATAAAAATGTTGTTAGCCTCAAGGGCAACATGCCGATTATCACTTGTAAGTCGCTTTGGACAAAAGTGTCTGCTAAATACATAAATTAAAACAAAAACATAAACATTTCATTTGTATAGAACATTTCAAATACAGCATGCGAACTGTCCAAAGCGCTGCTTAGGCAAATAAAACAAACTAAAAACAATAAAACAAAGATTAAAAAAACAATAAAAGCACATATTAAACAGCTAAATTGAAATAGATGTATTGAAAAAGAAATTGTAACACTAACTCCTCCTTTCCACCAGAGCCGTCAGCAGCAAGTTACTGTAGCAGCACGTCTTGCTCGCGAATGCTGCTGCCGCTGCTGCTGCTTGGCCCTTCCCACGAGACGCGAAGCAGCAGGGGAGCAGCAGTCACCGACGGAGCACGAAGTCACACGACATTAGCAAAATCACGCGTGACTTCTTCAGTAAACACAACAACAAACAAGCTTTGTTTGTCCATTATGGAAAAACAAAGGAGACCGCTAGCTAGGTGACAAATTCTCACGGGGCCACACAGTTAGTAACTTTTTTTTTAAAGTAAAGCAACCGGAAGGCCGTACATTTCTTTATTCTGAAAATCTCGGGAAGCTTCGCTCAGTTTCCGCGTCCGATTTCCTGTCTTTCCTTCCCCGAAAATGTCGAACTTGACCCGTTCCAGAGGCATGCCGCGTAGAAAATAGAACTGGCGCGTAAAAGGGCCGCGACATGCTGCTCCTGAGACGCGGCCGACTCGCGCTGCTGACGGCCGCTGACGGCTCCGGTGGAAAAGGTTCTGTTGACCACAGCAACTCCTATCAGCAGCTATGATGTGCTGCTGCAGTAACGTGCTGCTGATGGCTCCGTCACGGCTCCGGTGGAAAGGAGGGGTAAGTACAGATAAGTCAAAACAGGGAAACTATCCAACAAGTCACAACAAGTAGACTCATTTGGTGTATTCAAGAGGCATTTCAAGAATAAACATTTATGTTTATTCATTCATTACTGTAAAGCAGTCAAGACATTATTAAATCACTTTAGATAAAACAAGAAATCCTTTTAGGATACAGAATAACCACAGGGGCTGTCCTACGGACACCTACCACAACCTCTGACCAATATGAAAATGGGTCAGGAGTAGAGCTGGAAGTCGATTTTCATGGTGCAGAGGGATCCCAAGCAATGATGTCTTGGAGTAGAGAGTTTTGCACGGATGTTTTATCTTGTTGACTGAGAGCTGGCAGCCCTGCCAAACAATACATCAGATATAGGAAAATAAAGGAACAATATAATATTCTCATTGACTTATAATTTAGCATAGACTGAACTTTACTCAAAACTGCAATATTTTTGCTAACTCTATTTCTAACATACGCTATGTTTGACTTCCTTTATGATTAAATGCATTCAAGAAATTTATGTTAAAGTCCCCACAAATTATAAACTTTATTTTCACTCATCCTGACTAATAGTTGTTCCAATTTATTATTAAATGCTGTAATGCTGGAGCTTGGGGATCTGTATATACAAGTGACAATAATGTTCCTCTGATTCTTCATTTCAATTTCCATAGTTAAACATTCCAATAAATCGTCTGTAACTGTAGTCATACACTTAATTGTTTTACATTTCAGCTTACTGTCAATAAACAGAGCCACCCCCCTCCATTCTTATTGTTCTGATTAAAGTAAAATGATTAGGGCTGGGAAAATTAGCGCGTTAATTATTAGCATTAATTTTGTTATTTTAACGTATTAAAAGTAAATTACGCAATTGATTTGACCATGCCTCCAACCTGGAGCCACCATTCTCCCACTTCAGTAAAGTTAGCAAGATATTCACAGATTCGACTTTTGCGGCTCAATACCTTCTGAACACAGGGGTATTTAGAAACATAACATACGTCTTTGGTATCGTGGCAAGGCAGTGAACAAGCTACAACCTCGTTTCTTTCAAAAAACACTGCCCTCAGTTCCCGACGAGCTAAATTGTGCTCTATGAGACCGCTAAATTGTGCTCTATGAGACCGCTA